TATGAGGATAAGGTTCTTTGTGATGTAGTCCTGATAAGCACAACTCATTTGTTGCTTGGAAGACTGTGGTATTCAACAAAAGAGCCATGCATGATGGGCTCTTAAATCAATATTCATCCATCCATAGGAGAAGAAGAGTCACGTTAGTACCATTACCGTCACACTGAGTGCTTCAAGATCAACAACATATTAGGTCTAGCTCTGATGCTATGCAAGAATAATGTTATGTGGAAACAAAAACATTTGGATTTGAAATGAGAATGTGACTTTGCGTGAGAAAATCATTGGAGTGATTGAAAATGAGAAAGAAAATATTGAGAGAGAAGATAAGCATGAGTGTGAGAGTGGATAAAAAAAAGAACAAGAGTGTCAAGAAAACATTCGAGAGGACTGTGAGATTGAAGATAAAACTCAAAATAAACATGGGAATGAGAAAGAAGAATGTGAGGAGAAGGAAGTTTTTCTTTCTACTAATCCATCTTTTCCTCCTATCTATTCTTTTGATTTGTAGGTGATTCTAAAAGACATACGAGGTGAATCAAACAATTTATCTTTTGAAATTCCAAAAGATGCGTTCCTCGAGATTACAAAAGACATGTTCATAAACCTTCAATGTACATTTACCTTATATTCCAGATTCAATGAACTTTGTGAAAGGGAAGTTTCAATGAACCTAAACTTTAAACGTCCAATTATGTTCATTAATTAACTTGATCTTTTCAATTTCTTTGAATTCAAAGTATATATTTCTAACTTTGCTTTATTTTTCAGATTGATGATTCAAAGAAAAAGGATTGAACGTATGAAGCATTTCGAGTATAAAAAATGGTGAAAGATAAGGCTAAAAGAATTTCCAATTCAAAGGAGATCAAATGTGTTCCCTTATGTACCAATCATCGATTTGAGGACAAATCGTCTTATAAGAAATGGGATGATGTAATCCTATCGAGCACCAAGTTCAAACAAAACATGTTCACAACTTTGAAGTTCTTCCAATATGATTCTAAAGGAGTTCTTCCTTACTTCATTGCTTACTTACTCACTTATGCATTCTATGTGACATAAGTATACTTTAAACACATTATACTATGTTGAATATTTATATGTTATCCATTGCTTTCATACTTTATGATATTCATGCATATTGTATCTTTACTTAAGCATATGTCATGGTTATGTTAACTTATGCATTCATTCTAGCTTAATTCATGTATACACATTCTATACTTAGCTTATTTGCATTTAAACATGGGTGGCATCATGCATTCATCATTTTCCTAGCTAAAATCCTATCTAATTTCTTGTTTTCATGTTTTGTATAGGTACATTGGATGCTAAGACAACTTATGGTAGCTCATGGATTGAAAATACAAGCTTTGGTAGCTCATATTAGCTCATGAAAGTGTTATGCTAGCTCACTTAGCTCAAGGGAGCTTAATGGAGCTCAAACATTAGCTGAATGAGATGAAGGGGAGATGAACTTAACTGGAGAGTAGCTAGAAAGACTAAAATAAGTTGAACACATTCAAGGTTCACAATGTGAACACATTAATCCAAGGGATAGTTCACGTCAGCCATATTATGATCTATTTTTTGAGCTGGTTCCAAGCATATTTGGTTATGAAGGCTTATTTTCTTTTAATCCCCTATCTCTTAGCTTTCCAACACACTTTGAATTGCATCAATCCAATATTGGAAGCTCGAGATATGTCCAAATTACCAAAGATAATGCAGATTGGAAAATTAATACGAGATTTACAACCATTCATCACCTTTGGACGTGAGCACATTCAAGAAGGCTAATGTGAACATATTAAAATGTTAACAACCAAAGTGAAGAGCACCATTCAACCGTAAAAAGAATATGTGATTTAAAATAAAGATATACATTCATCCAAGGCAACCGAGGAGTCATGTTCACACCATAGAGAAAATTAATATCATCATTCATGAATGGTGTGGAGGATGAATTGTATTCATGCAAATACATTCATGTACCAAGTGCATGAAGGGAGCCAATGAGTCACGTTCACACAAAATGCATGCATTCCAAAGGGGGCCAAACCAACATGGATACATTCCTTCAAATTCATGCAAGGTGATGAAACAACATGTTCACACAAGGGGGAAGTATTCAGCCTAAAGCAAATTCATTTCATTTAAGGATGAACATGCACTCATTCAAGGCTTTAACTTTGTTTACACTAATTGTGCATTGTATATAATTAAGAATGAACATTCATCCATGAATGTTCACTCATTAAAGCCTTCTATTCACACTACGCATCCTTAGGCTCATAAATAGCCTTAGCATTTCATTTGTAATTTATTCATAGAATATACAACATTCAACTTTGATTTATAAAATATTTGTGGGAGTTTCTCTCTTTTGTTTTCTTTTATCAAAATAAAGAGCAGCCTAACCCATTTCATTTGGTGTTATAAATTTGATCACATGTTTTAATTTTATTTTCCCTGACATGCCACTTGTGACTTATATAGAAATGTGTCTTATAGAAATCTTGTATCACATTTACATATGCTTCCTTGCGATAAAGGATCATAAAATATAAAGTTTTTTTTCCTTATTTTGATTATAAATTAAGGAAAATTATAATATAGTAAATTTATAGATTCCGGCGGTGAAACCATTTTTGGTCGAGAACAAAAAAAAATGTAAACTAAAATTATGCATGATAATTAATAAAAAATAATTAATTATGGGTACACTATAGGAAATTGCATTTTCAGTGACACTAAGAATGGTTACTAAAAGTAACAAATTCAATCACTGAATATCATATTGACAAAATGTTTGAGTCGTCAATTCCCGTCACTATTATATTAGTGACAATTTATTGAATTTTGTCACAAAAAAATTAATAACAATGACAAAATTTTAGACACTAATATTATCCTTATTAGTGACAAATGTTTTATCATAGTTACATAATTAAATTGATTAATTAAAATATTTATTATTAAATCAATTATAGTAGATATAATTCTAATTTTTAGTTGTATTCATCTTTTTGAGGAACTTGCATCGTAGTCATTGTATCAGTTAGTTATTCGTTAACGATAGATAATGTGACGTCTCTACATGACTTTCAAGAAGATCGAACTTGGGACCTTCGTATTAAAAGTGCAACGCTTAACCACTGTGCTAAGAAAGAAATATTTGTTTTTGATAAAAATAATATTTAGGTTAAACTAATTTTGGATTAATTTTATTTATTTTATAAAAATATATTAATTATAATATTAGTTATCATTATAATAATTTAATTAAATTTTCTATAAGTTCTCATATAAAATATGTAAATGGAAGAAAAATATAAAAAATAATTAGGTTGTTTTTAAAATATAAACATATAAATATTAAGATTTAAACCTAAAATAATACCAAGTGTCCTTAAATTATATTTAATAAAATAAAACAATAATATTTGACGATGTATTGATCCCATATGGTAGAAGTCCTAAATTAAAAAAAAGTAATAACAATTAATTGATGTTAGCAAAATTCATATATATCTTAATAAAGATCATAAATTAATTATAAAACTAATCAATTTAAAAAAAATAATTATAATTGAAGATTAAATGATACCGTCAAAGTTTATAATAATCACATAGAAATATGACACAATTGTTCACTTCGATAGTGACAAAAATAGTTGTCATCACAAATCACCAACAAAGACTAGTGACAAAATATTTTTGTCACAATTATAAATAACAATAATGATTACTTAATATATTGTCACTATCATAATTTTCCCAACGAAAAATAAGTTGACGCCAATTCGAGCCTATTACTATTAAATAATTAATAATGACAACTTGCTTTTGGTCGCAATAAAACACTATTAGTGACCAGTTAATTGTGATGTACTTAAAATTATCAGAATTATTACTTAAAAAGTGACCAAATAATTTAAAAGTGACAAAAATAAATTTTGAAGCAAATAACATATTTTATATGATGAAATTCTTTAATATCACAATTAAATTATCACTAAAAATCATATTTTTTGTAGTGATAGCAGGTGACACATGTCCCTTAAAATAATAATAATAATTCATGATAATTAATAAAAAAAGATAATTAATTAGAAGTATTGTACATATTATTGGATTTCTTATCATAACCCTAACACTTGTATTAGATGAAAGAATGAAACTATCTAAATTTCAGTCTAAAAGAAGTTTTTGAAAAAAGAAGACTTGTTTTTTTTTTATGTTTACATTCCATCTATAACCAACCAACTTATAAAGAAAGACTTACTTAGCACATTTAACGTAGATTATGTGTTAAAAGCAACAAACTAAAACAGACAAAAAAAATGACATTTTTCTTCTGTTTATATCATATTGATTTTTTAAAAGATTAATATTCATACGACAATGAACCCAAAAAGAACATCACGAAATTTCCTCAAGCACCGCGAGAAAAATCCAACCCATTTCTGTGTCATTTAATAGAAAGATATATAATTCACTTTCAAAAGATCGCTTCCTTAATTTCATAAAGCCCCATGAGTTCTTTTATTGTTTGTTTAATTGAAAAAGTATCCTTTAATCCTATTGTTGTAATATAAAAAAGCCCATGGTCGACGCCCCAAGGCTATTCGATTTTCGTGAAAAGAGAGAAAGTAACGCCGACTCTAAAGAAGAAAAAAGCACAACTATTTTTATTAAAAAAGGAGGCGGTTTTGTACTTTTGTCAAACAGATGGGAAATGAAGTTGGGAAATAAAAAAAAGGATCATGTTCCACGTGCTTAAATTAAGAAGAAAAATATCCCAGAGCTATTTTGAACAGTTTTTCTTAGTCGTGTTGTGTGTGTCGTTTTTGTGCAGAGCGTGTTCGACATGGCTTTCAGAACAGCTGTACCCACCACCACACAACTCCAACCCTTCTCTCCTTTATATATATATATATATATATATATAGCGAGAGAGAGAGAGAGAGAGAGAGAGAGAGAGAGATCATCATTTCCCCTCTGCGGTATCATTTTCTTCTTCTCTTTTAATATACCTTTCTTCGTATTCGCCAAAACTTCTCATCTTCCTTGTCCTCTATCAATCGCTTTGTTTGAAACAAGAGTTTTATATATATTTCAACATGAGACGAAACTGCAACTTGGAACTTCGCCTTCTTCCTTCTAGTTACACCGGCGACATGTATGTACTTCTTTTTCTTTCATATTGCTGTTGGCATGCACTTGTTTTTGGCATAAACCCTTTTTTGGTAGCATTGAGAAAAATGATTAGTATAATTGATGGGTTTTCTCTTTTGGTGATCCAAGGATGGAAGATAACCCAGAAAACCATCAGCAGCAGCTAACAATCTTTTACAATGGAAGAGTTTGCGTTTGTGATGTTACAGAGCTTCATGTGAGTATTTGGTTCTACTCCACAAACTTTATACAACATTCATGCATTAGAATTGTGTATGAAAAAAGAAACACCCGATGAGAAGAGGATTTTTAATGTTTTAAAAAATTTCAGGAATTGTTTTGTATTTCCAAGATCTAATGTGTTTGTTCAACGAAAGGATCATTGCTGATTTATTCACTTAAAGTTTTATTCTTTTTAGATTTGTTGTTGATGAAAATTTGCACATGGAATTGCAGGCAAGAGCGTTCTAATGCTAGCAAACCGGGAAAGGGAGGGAACAATAAAAACTCCGACGGGATTGGAACCTTCGTCGCCCACGTTAAACTGGCCGAGCACGGCGCTTGCCATGAAGAGATCGCTTCAACGGTTCCTCCAAAAACGAAAAATGCGATTCCAAGCTGCCTCTCCTTACCATTATTATAAATAGATCATCCACAATGCCTTCCAATTTAGTTAAATTTAAGGAACTGAACTATTTTTTCTGCCTAGCAGTTCCACCCCCCCCCCCCTCTTTTTTTAATTTATGTATGAATTACGATACTAGTTGTAGCCGGAAGACAATAATATTTGTGACACTAATTTGTTGGTTTTTTTTAATGACGTCCCTTATGCTTAATTATGTGATGCTGCATGGTTCTTGTGACGGCATTTCATTTCCATAATTTAAGACCAATATATATATAATCAGAACTGAATTAATAATTAAAATATTTAAATAATGTTCACGTATAATAAGATTTAAATCAAAATAAAATTAAAATTTATGATCTAGCATAAATATATTTTTTACGTATAATAAGACTTGAACTAGAGCACTCAATATTCAAAACCCTCAAACTTTGTCAACACAAGCAACATTATCATTGCAAATATAAATTTTAGCAAATGATACATAAAGGGTTCTCAAAAATATTGATTTTACAATTTGAAATGTTATTAATATTTGTTATTTGCATGCCTATTATTATTAAAATTCTATGTATTAAATATGATTTTGATGTATTTTATTAGTATTAATATTTGTATGTCTTTTAAGATAACTACAACAAAAATAGGTTTCTAGTGGCATTTTTTTAGTCCTATAGTGGCGTTTTTAAGCACCGCTAAAAACATTACCAATGCTAGTAAGAGCGTCGCAAGAAGTGTCGCTAAAATCAAAGTCGCAAAAGGTGGCGGCATTTGTGAACCTAAAACACCGCAAAAGGTAAAGTTATATATTTGTGTTTGTTCTTTTAAACACCGCTATATGTTGTGATTTATAGTAGCATTTTTTCACAAATGCTACTAATTCTCTTTTCTTTAGTGACATTTTTTCCACAAATGACGCTAATTCTATTATTTTTAGTGGCATTTGTAATTCAAAACGTCGTTATATATTATGATTTGTAGTGGCATTTTTACTACAAATGCCGCTATTTGCAAATGGTTGACATAGATAGGTTTGATTGGGTTGCTCTTTATTGAACCCGTAAATTGTTTATCATCACTATGTTAATCCTTAAACTTTCATTAATGCTAATATAATATTATTTTACTAATAAGTTTAAGTCTTGAGTCTGATGGCATTATTTAAAGAGCTGGTAATGGCAGCTGATATTTTACAGTAACCAGAAACAATGGCCTAGACAGTATGAACAAATGAGTAACTATTATAAATATTGAGTCTTCCCAAAAGAGAGTAGCATTTTTCCCTTTTCCAAGCAATGTTTCAACTTTTTCATCAAATAGTAAACTTACAGAAAAATAAACTCAGTTTTTTCATTAAAAACAATAACAAGCGTCGGTAAAAATGGAAAATAAAACAAAAGAAGTTTTTAACTTGAACGCAGAACGAAACAAATTAACAAAACATTGTTGTAATTAATAAAACAAAAGAAGTTTGTAACTTGAACCCAGAAGCGTAAACAAACCATGAAGGGCACTTAAACTATTCCTTTCCATTAAAAATTTCAAAACCTGGAATCATAAACAAACCGGTTATGACAAGCATGAAAAGAAACTAGTATATAGAACACCAAATTTTGCATAATTAATTCCTTGAACAAGCACTTTTCTCAATCAAAATTGAGAGAGATACTACCCTACCAACTAAAGATATATGTTAACTGTGAAATAGTAAAAGGAATTAGCTGCCAAGTTCTCAGTCAACAACGCAGTTCATAGAGGTTTACAACTGCTGTAGAAGACATAGACAAGAATGCACCAACAAAACCCCTTTCTGAAGGTTTACCTCCACATAACTGCAAAAAGCTTGTAGCTGCATCCATCAAAAACTCATAGTTAATAATATGAGTAAAGGGGAAGGAAAACACTTTAATACTAGCAAAAAAAATGAAAAAAAAGTAAAATTGCATATCTTCTCAAATAAAAAAAGAGCACTTATGTCCACATGCCTAATTGAACAAACAAATGAACGGGTCCTGACACAACCACAGGAAAAATGCACAATTCATGACACACCCCAAAACAACAATATGATATTTGAATTATCACACCGCAACGATCGAATGCATCCAAGAATATGTGTAACATCGCAATGCAGTCTGTCATGAAAGTAAACCCTGTTATATACAAGACAGATAAAATATTGTATTTCAATTCATGTCAAAGCTTGAAACACAGTACAATACCTATTTTTTGCCTGAGGAGTACTGATCTCTAAGCGTGAAAATGCTTCCGAAATTTGTGAATGGAAGACTACAACTTGCCTGTGGAGGATAAAGTAATTTACGGGAACAATCCTATTTCATCAATTAACCATCTACTTCCAACATTCATAAAGTAATAAAAAACTAGAGTTGCCTGATGCAAATATCAATGATTCTATTTGTGTAACAAAAATTAATGTCATTAACTAGAAGAGAAAAAGGGAAAAGAACTAGTGACAACTGTCGTTTTGGATGTCAAAATAAATTCTTTATTCTCAAAAAATAAATAAAGGAAATACGTAGTAAAGAGAAGTAAGGGTCGATTCCACAGGGACTTAGAAAATTATAAATTTATGTCTGATTTATTTATGCCAGGCGTGAAAACAGTAAAAATGGGGGGATTTTGGTAAGAAAATATTAAAATAATAAAAGCGATTAAATAAGTAAAAACAATTAAAGTAAAAACAAGAAGATGAAGATTGTGAATAAATACGGTAAAAGTAGCCTCAAGCTTCGCTTTGACTCAATTTCCTTATGATCGTCAAATAAGGTTTTCTCTTTGGAATTCACGTCGGTTACTTTGTCTACCAGGGCTATCCCCTTGACTCTATCTTGTATACCGAATACCCAAGGCAATCTTTGATTCCGGCTTCGGTAATTGATTCTAACAACATCAATTGTCGTAGACCAATTACCGTTTAAGTTCATGGCGTCCGACTCGGATTGTTGCTTCGATAACCGTCAATTCCGATCTCAATTCCCTCTTGGCGAAGCTATCTCGCCAAGTGTGTTCCCAGGAAGTCGAATTGCTTTCTATAAGCCGAATCTTCCTCCCACACATTTAATCGCAACAACCTCTTGACCAAAGTCGATCTTTGATTTTGAAAACTGTTTTGATTTTGAAAAATAAGCGTAGAGATTGAGAGAGATATTTCGAAGATATTTAGGGCCTGTTTCAATTCTCCCGATGGAATTGAGTCGTCGCGTCAGCTCTCGGCTTATGAAAAGTTTAGCTAAGCATGACAAAAGTCATGCTTAGCATTTTGAAAACAAAGCTTGAAAAATAAAAGAAAAAATGAAAAGAACTTGAAAAGTAAAAAGAGAAAACTTTTATAAAAACTATAGAGAAAAGAAGATTGTAATCCGAGTGATGAGTTTAGTCTTACCCCAAGTGGGTTTTTATAGCCTCTCAAAGCCTAAGGATAAACAAGAAAATAAAATAAAATAACCCTAAGATAATTGTTTTTCAAATTTAAATTCAAACTTAAACTAGTCTCCTAATACAACTTTGCTCGTCCATCTTCCAGAAGGCGTATGGAGAAAGTCTTCTAGAAACCGTCGCTGACTGGACCTTCTAGAAGCCGCCACGTTAGCCCGCGTCGTGCCCAGATTCGTGCCCATGTCTCCAGCCATGACCAAATAATAAAAAATGCAGAATGCGCCTGTTTTATCACTAATTCTGGAAAGTAAGGACCTGCACGAAAACAAACATAACACGACCAATTTAGTAGCAATAATTCCACAAAACTGAAGAAATAACGAGCAAAGATTGACGATTCTGAGCACTCATCAAATTCCCCCTCACTTATCTCATGCTTGTCCTCAAGTATGATTAATCAAATTAGTCAAAAACACCATTTATCGTTCTTTGTCAAGTTTCACATTCAAGGAAAGCAAGGTAGAGACCACAAGAAATATTCAAGTTAAGAAATAAATCAATAGAACATCACCAATTGGAACAAGTCAATTGCAATTGTAATATCCATTCATTCATTAATCTCAATGCTCATAACTCAACACCTTATCGGGATTCACTCAAATCACTCAATGTGTTTGGGGTAAAGAAACGCTCAATGTCAGAATCAACACGATATTACCATAAGCCTGCAAATAAATCAAATCTCCACTACTAATAAGAACAAGATGCATAAATCAAAGGGTTTTTATTGGTTGTAACGGGGCTTAGGTAAAGGTGGGGAAAAAGGCTAAATATATGTTTAAATATTCAAGGAAAGAAACTAACAAATGATAATCTCAACTCCATTAAAACATTAAGCACACCAAGAATAAAAGACTAATTGTCAAACAACAAAATGCATTTGATTTTTTTTCACACTTTTATTGTTTTGTTTTCCATTTTTTCATGTCTTTTTTCTCTCACTTTTTTCGAACAGCATTCTTTTTCGAACTACTGTTTTTTTTTTCCAATGGAGCATACAATGGTAAAATTATTCACTTGCCCTGAAAAAGGTAGAAAAGAGGGATAAAACAAAAAGGCTCGGGTTTATAAATGTGGTGAAAACAAAGAAGCGGGAATAGGCTCAAAAGTGTTTAACTAAGGGGAAAATGCATGGGTAGGCTATTTAGTGGGGAAACGGGATGGTTAATCCTAAGGTGCCCAAATCATTTTTAAGCATCATGTTCATGTGTAATCTCGACAGTATTCAACATGCAGGTTCTAGATATCAATGCCAAATTCGACACACTCAATCCAACAAAATGAGAGCGAAAATGATATGCTCGTAAAGGCTCAAATCTCACCAAATTGTTTCATGCATTGAGCTAATCACATTTCAACCAATGAAGTCATGGAATATCAAAAAATCATAAACTATTCATAATTCATATTATTCGCTATCAAGAACATCTTAACCTAAACAATTATGTGTTCCCAAACAAGCATAGCATTCCAAAAATTTTCAACAAGACAAAGATAATTAATGACATTTTCGACAAATCCAATCAACACATACTAGTATTGAAATATAAAGATAAGCAAGGTGAAATTCAATCCTACACTCTACTCCCCCTCACTTAAAACTTTTTGCCCCAAAACAAAAAAAAATAAAGTGCAAGAGAAGGAATAGAGTACTCCCTGGATTTAATGTCGACCGCGGCT